TGGCTATGTATCTATTGCACTTAGCGTTTGCTAAATGTAATTATTATTATTTTGTGTTTTTTGTAATTTTATTTACGTCATGCTAATTAGTTGTGAGACTTAGATTTTATAAATTATAAACAACGTTATGCTTAATTTTATAGAATGTTAGGTTAGGTTAGGTTGAGTTTAAAACAAAAAACACTTGAAAATAAATTAATTGAGATTAAATTTTGCAGAGATTTTATAATTTTATACCAAAAATGACAAAGTTTTATGGGCGTTTAAACTAACGATATTTAATTAGTTATTCTGTAGTTAAACCAGTAGACGTCACCTTTGGATATCGCCAAAAAAATGGTTCTTGGAATGGAGTTGCAAAGAGACTAGCAAATAAGGTAAGAGAAAAACAAATGATAAGTTCTACAAATATTATTTAAAATATAATAATTATTATAATGTATGATAAAGAAATAAAAGATTTTCGTTTAAAATATACTTCGGCGCATTTCGAAATACTTCTCTAAGAACTTTTATGTTTCTTGAATAGACTAGTTTCAGTATTGCTTTCGTAAATATTCAGTAGTATAACAGTTATTCACAGCAGAAATCTATAAAATAGCGAAAATATAACGTAAGACATTATAAAATAGAAAAATAATTTTTTAGAAGGTACTAAGCAGCGCATCCCAGAAGAGGGTTCACCACCGAATACTGGATGGAGGTTTATGTCCGACCAATGGCTGGCCACGGTTTTGTGTGTTTCATTTACGTGTCTAAAAACACCTAAATAGAGTCATCACGGGAAGAATCTCCTCCTTAGCAGCTGTCCTTACGTCGCATTGGTTTTTCCCATCGAGGCGAGCCAAACCTTCTCCGCGGGCTTTCTTTCTTATCTTACGTCGCCGATTCAACGGGCTTTGCCTATTAATTAACCAGTTTCTATAGAATTACAGTAATATAACGTGTCAGAATATAAAAACATTTATATGAAAATTCTGAATAAACCAATAAATACAGAAGTAAACATCGTTATATATAAAGTTTCCCCCCAATAAGGACTTAAATTAGAAAAATTTGATTCATTCTAGATCTCGATTGTCTAATTTTTAGCAAGCGCGTTTTACTTTCACGGGTTCTTTTTTACTCTTTTCGCCTCGCGGGCTCTCAAAGAGCCTCAGTTAGCAAACACATTATGAGTTGGGCTAGGCTCACAACGGGGCAGCTGGGTGGTGGTTGACATTTCTGATCGGACCACTAGCCGAAAAATCTCTGGGGATTTAATATGTTCCTTTAATTCCTTTAAACTGAATATTTTTCGTTTAATAATAATACAATAAGTACAAATACAACTTTTAACAAAAATACAGTAAAGCCATCTTTGTTAAAAGTTGTATTTATACTTATTGTATTATTATTAAACGAAAATTAAACGAACCGTTGGCCGTGTTAAATTTATTATTAATTTTATTTACATATTATTCGCCGGGAAAGTAACGCAACTCATTGCTGGATTTTTTAAAATGGGATTTTAAAATTAAATTATTGTTATAATAATTAACCTATCCGATGTCAAAGTTTCTCTCCGTTGCCTATGTTTGTCCATATCTAACGAAAATTTCCCGTTTTTGAAAAAAATAATGGTGGCTATTGTATCGTCCGAAATTATGTTTTTTTCTATTTTGACTCTTTCCTCTGTCCCCCGACTACATACAAGTCTGGTTTATTTTATGTGCGCATGATTTGGGCACCTAATACTCTATGCCAAATTGCAACTCCTAACGTATTCCTCTTATACTTGTAAGGTGTGCGACCGTGACGACACCGCGATTTTATAAACAAGACATAGTGTTGTCAACAATAGCCCGATTAATTACTGGAAATTTTTTAAATTTTGGGTGTACCTGTTAATATAAATCTTAAAATAAGACAGGCAATTAAAGTGTTAATGATAAATTAGGTAAAAACTAGAAGTTACTATATTTTAAGTTTTCTATTTGAGTTGTATTTTCAATAAATGAATTTAAATTGTATCTTTTCCTCTTTTTAAGTATTTCTTACGTCGAACAATAAAAAGAACAATAGATTACTTGGCTTTTTGGAGAGCCGTACATAAAGAACAATTACTAATTTCGATATTTTAATACGTAGGAAGCGGATATAGCTTACATGGCCTTGTTTGTCAACTACGAGCGATTTACTATTGCAGATTTCTCTTCTACCATAATGTTTCAGCAGATTGGTTTTGTAATAAGAGCTCCGAAAAAGTTTCCAAATTGGAATTCTATCGTAAAACCTTTTTCTATAGAGGTAAGTATGTCGAATAAATATACAAAATATTATACTATAATCTGGATTATCGAATGTACAAGATGGCGGCCATAATTCGTTTTCCTATTCAGGGAATCCTGTAGCTTTAACCAATGAGCGGTTGACACTAAAATTTGCATACAGACTATGCGAGGGACGCGAAAAAAAGTTTCCCGAAACACGAATTTCAAAAATTTCCGGTAGAGAGCGCTTTACAGAAAGATGCACTATATGCATTTGTTCCACAGGAGGTATGTCTCCTGCGGAAGCCGTTCACTGATTTAAGGAATGTTGCTCGATGTGTGCTCTATTGTTCGGGTATAAAGTTTGAATACAATATTGCACCGAGTGATGCACCGAGTGATGCGTTATGGTAAAAAGATGAAAAAATATGTAAATAAGCAAATTTTAAACGTTTTGTCACCCAGTTGTTGCTTCGAACTCTTCAACTACGCTTAGCCTGCTTGTTTTGAAAACTATTGATCAAAATTTCGAATTTTTATGCTTCTCGCGACGCCTCTTCGATTTAACATCATACAATAAAGTCCTATCGTTGCAATCGTTACAGATATGGACTCTATTGTATTAATTATTATAATTAGCCGATTTATCGTCCGAGTATTTAAGGCGATAGTTTGGCTATGTATCTATTGCACTTAGCGTTTGCTAAATGTAATTATTATTATTTTGTGTTTTTTGTAATTTTATTTACGTCATGCTAATTAGTTGTGAGACTTAGATTTTATAAATTATAAACAACGTTATGCTTAATTTTATAGAATGTTAGGTTAGGTTAGGTTAGGTTGAGTTTAAAACAAAAAACACTTGAAAATAAATTAATTGAGATTAAATTTTGCAGAGATTTTATAATTTTATACCAAAAATGACAAAGTTTTATGGGCGTTTAAACTAACGATATTTAATTAGTTATTCTGTAGTTAAACCAGTAGACGTCACCTTTGGATATCGCCAAAAAAATGGTTCTTGGAATGGAGTTGCAAAGAGACTAGCAAATAAGGTAAGAGAAAAACAAATGATAAGTTCTACAAATATTATTTAAAATATAATAATTATTATAATGTATGATAAAGAAATAAAAGATTTTCGTTTAAAATATACTTCGGCGCATTTCGAAATACTTCTCTAAGAACTTTTATGTTTCTTGAATAGACTAGTTTCAGTATTGCTTTCGTAAATATTCAATAGTATAACAGTTATTCACAGCAGAAATCTATAAAATAGCGAAAATATAACGTAAGACATTATAAAATAGAAAAATAATTTTTTAGAAGGTACTAAGCAGCGCATCCCAGAAGAGGGTTCACCACCGAATACTGGATGGAGGTTTATGTCCGACCAATGGCTGGCCACGGTTTTGTGTGTTTCATTTACGTGTCTAAAAACACCTAAATAGAGTCATCACGGGAAGAATCTCCTCCTTAGCAGCTGTCCTTACGTCGCATTGGTTTTTCCCATCGAGGCGAGCCAAACCTTCTCCGCGGGCTTTCTTTCTTATCTTACGTCGCCAATTCAACGGGCTTTGCCTATTAATTAACCAGTTTCTATAGAATTACAGTAATATAACGTGTCAGAATATAAAAACATTTATATGAAAATTCTGAATAAACCAATAAATACAGAAGTAAACATCGTTATATATAAAGTTTCCCCCCAATAAGGACTTAAATTAGAAAAATTTGATTCATTCTAGATCTCGATTGTCTAATTTTTAGCAAGCGCGTTTTACTTTCACGGGTTCTTTTTTACTCTTTTCGCCTCGCGGGCTCTCAAAGAGCCTCAGTTAGCAAACACATTATGAGTTGGGCTAGGCTCACAACGGGGCAGCTGGGTGGTGGTTGACATTTCTGATCGGACCACTAGCCGAAAAATCTCTGGGGATTTAATATGTTCCTTTAATTCCTTTAAACTGAATATTTTTCGTTTAATAATAATACAATAAGTACAAATACAACTTTTAACAAAAATACAGTAAAGCCATCTTTGTTAAAAGTTGTATTTATACTTATTGTATTATTATTAAACGAAAATTAAACGAACCGTTGGCCGTGTTAAATTTATTATTAATTTTATTTACATATTATTCGCCGGGAAAGTAACGCAACTCATTGCTGGATTTTTTAAAATGGGATTTTAAAATTAAATTATTGTTATAATAATTAACCTATCCGATGTCAAAGTTTCTCTCCGTTGCCTATGTTTGTCCATATCTAACGAAAATTTCCCGTTTTTGAAAAAAATAATGGTGGCTATTGTATCGTCCGAAATTATGTTTTTTTTCTATTTTGACTCTTTCCTCTGTCCCCCGACTACATACAAGTCTGGTTTATTTTATGTGCGCATGATTTGGGCACCTAATACTCTATGCCAAATTGCAACTCCTAACGTATTCCTCTTATACTTGTAAGGTGTGCGACCGTGACGACACCGCGATTTTATAAACAAGACATAGTGTTGTCAACAATAGCCCGATTAATTACTGGAAATTTTTTAAATTTTGGGTGTACCTGTTAATATAAATCTTAAAATAAGACAGGCAATTAAAGTGTTAATGATAAATTAGGTAAAAACTAGAAGTTACTATATTTTAAGTTTTCTATTTGAGTTGTATTTTCAATAAATGAATTTAAATTGTATCTTTTCCTCTTTTTAAGTATTTCTTACGTCGAACAATAAAAAGAACAATAGATTACTTGGCTTTTTGGAGAGCCGTACATAAAGAACAATTACTAATTTCGATATTTTAATACGTAGGAAGCGGATATAGCTTACATGGCCTTGTTTGTCAACTACGAGCGATTTACTATTGCAGATTTCTCTTCTACCATAATGTTTCAGCAGATTGGTTTTGTAATAAGAGCTCCGAAAAAGTTTCCAAATTGGAATTCTATCGTAAAACCTTTTTCTATAGAGGTAAGTATGTCGAATAAATATACAAAATATTATACTATAATCTGGATTATCGAATGTACAAGATGGCGGCCATAATTCGTTTTCCTATTCAGGGAATCCTGTAGCTTTAACCAATGAGCGGTTGACACTAAAATTTGCATACAGACTATGCGAGGGACGCGAAAAAAAGTTTCCCGAAACACGAATTTCAAAAATTTCCGGTAGAGAGCGCTTTACAGAAAGATGCACTATATGCATTTGTTCCACAGGAGGTATGCCTCCTGCGGAAGCCGTTCACTGATTTAAGGAATGTTGCTCGATGTGTGCTCTATTGTTCGGGTATAAAGTTTGAATACAATATTGCACCGAGTGATGCACCGAGTGATGCGTTATGGTAAAAAGATGAAAAAATATGTAAATAAGCAAATTTTAAACGTTTTGTCACCCAGTTGTTGCTTCGAACTCTTCAACTACGCTTAGCCTGCTTGTTTTGAAAACTATTGATCAAAATTTCGAATTTTTATGCTTCTCGCGACGCCTCTTCGATTTAACATCATACAATAAAGTCCTATCGTTGCAATCGTTACAGATATGGATCGTCTTACTATCGACGATGTTCGTATTTGGGCTGATTTTGCACAAAGTGATAGAAGAGGACTTCGTTGCAGACGACGTAAACATATATTGGCCCAGAAGCAAAATATTCTGGAATTTGTTTGGCACATTCGTTTATCAAGGTAATTATATAAATTACAGAGAAAACTTTTGCCTTTTATTATAACGCGCTTATAAAACTTCAAATAGGTATTGAATCGAAGGATATAAAGAGGTTACCTTCCAGATTGCTGGTTGGAATCTGGTGGCTGTCCATTGTCGTTTTAGTGTCTAGTTACAGCGGAACTCTAATGTCTTTCATGACATCCTCTAATGGAACGTGTACCTAAAAATTTCAAAGAACTGGCTGCTGCAGTTACCAGGGGTGAATATAGTTGCGGCGCTACGGGTGGAAAAGCTATATGGAGTGCCATTGTGGTAAGTGGCACTTACGCTTTTTTTGTTATTTAAATGTTTTCTTTTATTAATTCAATTATTCTATTTTAAGAATTCGAGATCTGAAAATATAAAAATAATCAGAAATAACATCATCGACAATGGTAATTTTTTGTCCATGTCCGAATGGACGGAAGAAGTTCTTAAAGGACAATTCGCTTTCGTATGCAATAGCGATGGTTTAAGACAGTTTGTCAAGGAGGAAGATCGAAATAAATTCCTGGTTTCTCAAGATTCTTTGATCACATTTGTCCAGGCTTACACGATGAGAAAAAATTTCCCTTTCAAAAAGGACGTAAGCAAAGTGTAAGGAATTTTTATAGAAATTTCTTTAAGAAAAAATTATTGGTATAATTAATAATTGTGATTTTTACAGAGTAACTCGTTTGTTCGAAGCGGGAATTGTTGAGAAAATCGATTATGCCACGAAAGGAAAATTGATAGAGTTCCCGGAATTTCAAGGTCTATCGATGGATGATCTTATAAGCCCATTGTTATTGCTTATTTCGGGTTACGCGCTTTCATTTATTTTCTTGTCTCTCGAATTCTTCTATGCCAAAGTGCTAATTAACTTTAAATTCTGCGATAAATCTTAATATACTCGCTTAAATCTAGCTTTTGTTTCCTATGATGATAATCATAAAAGAATAAACACGATTATTACTCTTTACGATTTGCATAATGCATATTAATTATCTGTCTATGTCGCTCTATGGAGAAAAGTATCGCGAGGTGGAATTGCAGCCCAGAGTTAATAAATATTAAAAATATTATCTACATAACATTCGATAATATATTTTATATCATATATAATGATATTGAATAATAGGGGAAGTACAGTATTGTCAGCGCCACTCTATGTAATATTGCAATCCTCGGTAAGTAGTTAGCTATGAACATCAGATATCTGGTGACATTGCCAGTACGTAGTATGTACAGTACAAGTATAAACAATGTACAATTGAAGTCATCGGGCCGCTCTTCCACGTGTTTTCAGTGTGTTTATTATTACGCGTCGATACCGATACCATGTAATTTTTGTCTGTCAGAAAAATAGAGATACGTAGTATCTTGTTTTAATCTACTGTTTCGTGAAGCTGTTTATTAATGTATAAGTTGACATAGTTACAATATCAAACTTCTTCGGATGTTATGTTGTCAAATCTTAAAATTCTTAGCCATGTTATACTGGGGTAAATGACACATTAATAGGGATTACCACATGTAATTTTCCAAGATGCCATTTGCAAAAACTTGGGCTGAAAAGTTTAACATAAAGTGATTGTGACTGATATTTTTTCCTTACCAGTAGTCGCTTCAAATAATGATAATCGCAATAAGCAACTATCGAATGTTTTGGCCGGGACCTAAATAAATATCGAAGAATTTGCATTACTTTTTTGAAACTGTTAGATAATGCTGTACGGTAAATTATGATGGCGTTTCCATGACGTGTGGAGGAATTACCTCGATTGGTAGGATACCGCCATCATCTTACAATTTTTTTCTTTTTCTTGCTTATACGGAAGTTTTCCTGCCTGCCTTATCAGTATTCTGTAAGGGCCTACCAGTGGCCGAGCGGTCTTCGTACTTCGAACACTAGGAGTTCGGTCGTGGATTCGCGCCTGGCTCGGAGGGCTGGCCACGCGGAGTTTTCCGGGTTTTCTCCACGTCCGTAACGCCTAAATAGGGGCCAGTTTCCTTTAAAAAGACCTCCCGGAAGGCATTCACTAGACAGATCGCCCAAGTGTTGCGTTGCAATAAGTTAACAAACAAACAATCAGTATTCTATAAGAACCGCTTTTTTTTCTTAGGGTGGCGCCAATACCTCACTTTCCTTTAAAGAAATATTAAATTATTCATTTTGTACAGAAAATGAAGCTGGCACCGTTATTATTCACAGAATTGTGCGCTTATCGAATAACTTTTATGCAAATAGAATAATAAATAGTGCTAATATCAAAGTGTACTTCAGCTTACGTGACATTAAACAATTGAAACTTTAGACTTTCTGTGGTGTCTTTTCAAGTTTTTTGAGTCTTAAGGACATAAATGTACTTTCATGTACAGTAAATTTTATTATTACCTTTTATTTTAATCTATAACAAAGAAAAATATTATAGTTTTAACAATAAATCGTTATACTTTTTTTTATTATATTCTTTGTATTGTAAGAGACTTAAATTACAACAAATCCAAAAAATAGATTAAATAAACATATAACACGTACTGTACATATTCTATTTGAAGCGAAGTATGTAATTATTATTAATTTACACCACAAAATTGTTATTTAATAGCAGAAAAATTTATTTATCATATTAATACCAGAAGAATTCGGAAAGAAGTAACGCAAATTTTTTTGACTAACTTAATTAAATAAGTAATAATTAATAATTGAATTAATTCGTGATAGTCAGAGCATAAGTAATTATTGTTAACATATAATCATGTTTACGTAATAGTAGTAATTCCGACTTCTGTGACATTCGCGATTACGTTGTCGAGCTCGCGATAGACAATTCTCCAAGCGTGTTCATTGTTATAACCTTACCACATTAAACCGCGCACATAGTTGAAGTGTAGGCTGTGTTTACTTAGTTGGAGAGCCACGTTAAGGTTGTTCGCGCGTGGACCCCCTATTAATCGATGGCTGTTATTTGTGTTGGGTGGTTTATCCACTCGGCCATTGTTGAATCCGAAATTCTTCTGAATACAATTCAGCTAGTAAAATTTTGAATTGTTCATCGCGGCAATAAATTTCGTGTATATTATTTCAACCGCTAAGCAACTAAAAGACAGCGAATAACCGATCATTAGTAACAAGTATGCACTGGCAAAATCGTCCGATGTCAAAGGTCGAAACTCCGAAGATTTCGATAACTGTAAATCTTCCGAAGGAAACATTCTGCGAACAATTCCAGCTTCGCACGTACGAGTTACACTGCCAAAAATTACATTCAATTAAAAATAAATAATAATAAATAGAAGAAGAATGAGAAAATTCTCTTACATGTCGCTTATATTCTTTTCGAAAGGAAATCCTTTTCTCATGGGGAAAGCGAGAATCTGCGTCAGAAGGGAATCTGTGGAAATCGTATATTTGTGTAGATCTTCTTTTCTAATAAAATACTTGATTACGTATCGAGGTACTATGACAGCGAAACGCTCTTCTCGCACTCGTCCCATGGCTTCTGCCATAGACATTAAATTGTTATTCGACAAAATATGGTCTCTCAATATTTTCGTATTGCGGGATTTTGAATCCTTAAAATAATAATTAAATCGATTAACACGGGAAGATTCGTGTATAAAATACAGAGTGGTCGAATTTCACCTATTCGCAGCACTCTGTAGCTGTAACCGATGGGCAGATTATCACCGAAATTTGTTTACGAACTGCGAATACAGCAAAAACACTAGTTCAGAAACTTCCTTTAAGAGCGCGTTGGCAAAATCTCTTTCTGCATCCTTTCAATAGTCTATATACAAATTTCGGTGTCAATCCACTTATTGGTTACACCTACAGAGTAATTTGAATAGGGAAACTTTACGGCCACCCTGTATAAAATAGGTTATTTACATACAAGAATTTCCCTCCAGATGATATTTCCCGCTTTAGTGCCACACTGGTATTCACCTCTTTGAACAGAATTTGCTAATTCTTCGAAATTTCTTGGAACTTCTTCGGTTAGAGGGTACGTTAGGTAAGACATCAGTGTCCCGCTGTAGCTGGATATTAACACAACAACGGACAGCCACCAAATTCCTATCACGAATCGAGTTGGAAATTTCTTTACCGCTTTCAGGTTTAATCCTATAATTATAGAAAATCTCAAAGTTTAATAATTACAATAATATTATACAATAGAATAGATTTTACCTTGGTACATAAACGAGCAAAATAAATTCCAATAGATTTTACACCGTGACCAATGTATTCTCGATTCTGCCGTAAAGTCGTTTTCCATTATTTTGTGCAATATCAGTCCAAATATAAACACAGCCAGCGATACACAGATCCACATCTACGAATATTATAAAGTTATATTTGGAAAGAAGATATTTGATGAAACTCGCGCGGGAATTACCTCTAAAGAGAAAGGTTTCATAAGAGAATTCCAGTCGGCGATCTCTTTTGGAGCCTTGATTAGAAAAACCGTTGGCTGAAAGGTGAGTACTGATGAGTATTTTATGTACGGATAGCGAATTGGACTGATTGCCAAACCAATTGTAGAAATATCGGCTTCCTACATCATGAAAACGATAAAGATCTCATTGAAGGGAAAGATGATCATTAATTTACTAAAATAAGAATTTTAAAATTGTTTTATTTGACAATTAATAAGTTCTACATTTGCATGGAATTAATCTATTGCTCTGGAGATTCCGGGTGAGCGGCCCCAGGAATTTTTACCAGCGTTAAGTTCCGAATATATTGGGCCCGGTCGTTTCCATTGCGGGTCTTTCGAATCCGCGACGGATACGAAAAAGGCCCTATTAGACTCCGGGACGTAAAGTGCAAAAACACGAAATACTCTCACCTGATTTGCAATTTTTCCTATAAGTCCGGTCCAGGAACCATTTTCTGCTAAATCTCCAATAATTTCGTCTATCGGTTTCACTATAACATAACTAATTATATAATTTAATTAGATATTTATATAAATATAGATCTGTGATAACGTAACAGTTAAGTATCATATTGTATAACAGTTAACTCATTGTATTAAAGAACACAATAATGTCGCGGATGAGAATATTACCCGACCTTACTGCGTACGAAACAATATTGACTTTTCAATTTATATCTGTTGAAATTGCCCAAATTTAAATAACGATGGTGAGATTATTTATGAAAATCTCAAGAGAATAGTAGCCCGATAGATCGCCATTTTGTTCCGATGGAGATTATCCATTAATCGTCTATTAGAACAGCGTAATTACCAATTAACTCGTATAGAAATTATGTTAATTTAATGAAACTACTACCACATTTATTTAATTAAATAAAACAATCGGCTGACCTAAATCGGAGTTTCTGTTGAATAATTCTGAAAAGTTCGTACAACACTCCTCCCGTAATTCGTGTTTCGGATTTGTCGAATTTCATAAGGTTCGATTTCTGCAAAATAATGAATGTAAGGTTATTATCGATTATATCGACGAAAAGTTCAATAACGAGAACAATAAAATATATTTACTCGGTAACCGGCCACCTTCCATATTAGAGAATCATTCGAATTCTTCGCAACTCCTGTTGGAAGTATTTAATGTATTTTAAAATTGACTACTGACAAAGGCAAAACAGAAAGAAAATTTTTTGGCTTTCTTGAGGATTTTCTTGATCGGACAATTAATAAATTGATGGGCTCTTTCTGTATAGGTAACGCCAACCCCCCCAAAACCTCTAACGCGCGGCCCTAAATGTAACGTAGAATTAAACGTAACACGCGGAAGATATTTCGAAGAAAGAAACTTTAATAATGAATGCGAGTTAAATAATTATTTTCAAATAAAAAGTAAAAATGAAAGAAACGTGGCAAATAAGAATTATAAACTTTTTTAATCATAATTAGTCATTTCGAGTACTTACCATTACTCTGGCGCAGAAAGGGGAATATTATTATAAATACCGAACGGAGACAAAGAACGAAATTCATTCCTTTCATTTTAAAATAGAGAAAATGAAGTATTAGATGCGTGGTAGATCGGAACAATTGCGTGTAACATTAGGAAAACCTAAATATATATAAAAGAAGAAGCCAGTTCTCACTTAACACAGTTTACATAAATCAGCGTAAACAAACGATATTAGGGAATGCACTATTCTCTTCTGTTTGTTGAAGTTGCGTGAATCGAATGCCAGTTCCATTTAGAAAATAACATAAATTTCCAATATATTTACTTGTAATTTTGTATACGGAGCACGGTTCAAAAATGTTTTCGAACACTCCTAAGTAAAGAGGTTACGGTTTACTGTAATTTAGGTAACGGTTTATCGAATGGTTTAAAGTAAAAAAATCCAAAATAGTTTACTGATTTATTACAGAAAAGTCAAATTTCTATTTTTACATTGTAAAAAGTAGGCTACTAAAGAAGAATCAATATCAATAAAATTTCAAATCGATATCCTTTCGTTTCATTTAACGAAGGTAACGAATTTATTGCGAAGCGGTGACAATGCCGGGTTGAAAATTTTAATTTATTAGTAGAGGCTTGCTCCTGTACTTTTCCTTTAATAATACAGTCGTTTAGGAATTCCCGAATTTTTAATCGTCAGTTGTGAAATTGGGTACGATCTTGGGTAAATCACGCTCAATCTCGAATTTGGCTCACTATTAATTTGGGACGGAACGTCTGCGTGTGTAGTACTGTACATTACGTATTGTTTTCATATCGTATACATCTTTCATATTTTAAGTTTCATATTGGAGCCGGAGAGAGCAGTTTTACCGAAAAACCGAGAAAGAAGAACACGTAATGTTACATTTCTAGCATTTAAAATTCGTAAGAAATCTTTCTTACGAATTTTAAATGCATATATTACAGACGTAGGGGTCTTAAAAGTATTTTCTATTCTGTCGACCGAATTGCTAATGCAAGTAAATTAAAAATTAAATTTTTTTAGACATAATTAAGAATGGTGTGTTACATAGAGAGTAATGGGTCTGCCGTGTTTCATTAATGGCCGGATGGTCGAGGCGGTGAAGGTGTCAGCCTTCGTATCGCTTCAAAGTCCTCGAACTACCTCCCCGTTGAATCTATCTCCCGGAAATTTAATCAAATCCAGTTCAAATTACTTTCAACGAGACTCCGAACCCGATTTCACATCATCACTGCGTTGTTCAAATTATCTCCTTCGTGTTTTATCTGAAATAAGAAACTCTTACGCTCGCAACTGGTGATAAGTCTACATTTATTGAATAAAATATGTGAAAACATACAAGAACGAAGAATAATCTCGACGTCCGACAAAATAAAAAGTCACAAAAATGTTAATTGCATTAAAATAATCTCCTCTCCGGTTCGAAGTGCGTAAAATTACGTGCGTGCAAACAACATACGCAAGAAACGACTACACGTATTATTATGTTTGCGTATATGCCGTATGCGGGAATTAACTAATTGCGGGAATTATCTAAATGAAAATAAATTCTTTCTAAAGGATAATCCGAGATTGTAAGGGAGTGCCATTACATCACCTTACAGCCTACCTCAAGAAGTAATCTGTAATTGATTTTATACCGCCTACCGGCAATTTTAAAGCGCTTTTAAGTTACCGTGCAGTAAATAGGAGTAATCTAAAATTGTAACACCGAGATCGAATTCGGACGGTCGACAAACCCCACCAATTTTGGGGGTAATAGTGATGGACTGCAAATGTGGGCCTAGATTACTAACAATGGACCTTAAAGTATACCCTTCGGAGCTCAGGGGATAAAGTCAATAACTTATTTACTATTTAAATTGATAATTATTTTAAAATTATTTAAAAACTGGATGTGATATTTTCGAATTTTTAGTGTTACGAATAGATTTTCGAGTGTTTATTACATTTAAAAATTCAATACTGATTAGCATCACTCGAGACGATGTAAATTCAAATAAAATTAAAATTTCTTTTGTTTTCGCATTTCAGATCGATAAAAATAGTTCGTAACCTCCCACGACTCTTTTCATAAGCAGAATTAAAATTACACAATAATGAACAATACAAAAAATATTTCTCAAGATCCAACAAATTGGCACGTTTATAAATTCTAATTTTTATTTTTATTTTTTCACGGCACGAAACTAATATAAATTTATGTCTGGAATGCGAATTACAATATCGCTATACGTTATATTAAAATCACGCGTAGCGATATAACAACTTTGTTTATGGATTTGCAAAATACACCGTTTTAAGCTGTATTTTTAAGAAACTTTTGCGGTTTTGTTGGACGATAACGACGAAGTAACGCAATTTTGCTTTGTAGCGGAAAACGAACCTCTTAATTCGAGAAAGGCGTTGAATACCGAGTAAAGGCCCTCTGCCACCTGCAAAACAGTAAAACGAAATCACAATTTTAACGAATTGAAATGTGGACGCAATCCATCACTTACTTTAATAAAGAAGTCCTTCTTGACAACAATGAATCCCGCCATAGAGAATCCCAGAGGAGTCTTTCCGTATCTCTTCGCGAAGCAAAGAATCTTCAAAAAGAAAATAACACTGAATAAAATACCTGGAAAATTATTAAAAAAAATAATATAATGACAACCTTGAACTTGTACACTGGAGATAAATTACACAAGGCCAATTTTCGAATTTCAGAAAAGTTGTCGTATAGCTGTTGAAAAAAATCGTATTTGTAGTGAAGACTTTTACAATCAAGAGGTGCGCAGTAATACGCTACATCTAATAGGCTAATTAATTTCGACGCGTTAAACGTTTATTGTGACTTTTATGCAAATGATAATATAGAAATCTTTACATAGATTATAAATTAAACCTCGGGGAATAGTGAACTGCGGCTCATTAATCGGGTATTAATTTTAATAATGTAAATATAAATGAACTTAACCAAAGTGTTGAACTTACTTTCGATGTGAAATTCGACAGAAGAAATGCAAAGAAAAGTGTTCCACTCGTTACTGATAAAACTACAAACCACATTGCCAACTGTAGGATGGTTGGCATCTTGACAAAGAGTGTTCCGTACAGTAGAAAACACGTTAAATACAAATACAGTCCGTATTCAATTAAGTGCAAATACTTGTGTTTTTCGTTTATTTCTCGAACGATTTCCCACACGTCGGTTTGTTTCTCGATAAATTCTTCAATTTCGTTTCTAGACGTCGATCGCGGATTCATTTCTTGTAATTCCTCGGACAACTTCTCGTATCTTCGGTTGATGATCTGATATATCAAGATTTCTGCCATTTTTACCGACATTATCTGTCCTAAAACAAAGATCGTAATCAGTTGAATAAGATAACAACATACAATCGCTACAATATCGTGACAGCCTTCTTTCTTCAACACGGGATAGGTGACGACAGCTAAGTTAAAGGACAACGATACCGATATAAAGAATATGATGGAGAGCATCAACAAGCAGACTTTTTCGATTTTTTTTGATAATTTTTCTTCTCCGGCATAACTGCTTCTCTTCTGAACGAAGGATATTTGTGCTCGTTTCAATATGGTGTTTTGCAGAGCCATGCACAATGCTACGAAAAAGAAAACAAATTTTATCTGCATAATGCCGTCACCGAAGATTCTGAACGCCTGGGTGCAAATCAATTCGATTCTAGTAAACATGGATAGGACCACCGAAACCCCGATCCATATCGATACTTCCACAATATTGTAGTAAATATTATAATATTTTTCGAATTTTAAGATTTCCTCCCAACAGGAACATTGGCAAGGTTTGACGAATTTCACTCCGAACACTAGAATTGCCATCAAGACTGGTTTCAACAGACAAGTAGGACAAGTTCTAGATTCCTTCTGAGGCTTCATAACTATGAAAAAAAATTTTTAAAGTAGTTAATTTTAATATTAAATGAAAACAATTTAGTTATTTCTTTAATAGCCACAATTGAAGTTTTAATAAAAATAGAATTTAATGCCGAGGAAACATTGGCAATTTATGCATGGAAATAGTCTGCCGCTATACACACGGTGATGTAGGATTGATGAGATTAAGCAACGAATACTTTGGCAATCCGGAAGGCGGGAGAGCCTCTCGCCTTATTGGCAAGAGGTTAAATACATATAAGGAAGAAATAAATATAATATCTCGACAGGATTTTCTAGTGGAAAGTGTTATTCGAGTGTTACGGCGCGAAGAAACATTTCCACGCGGCCAGCCCGTTGATACGGTTCGTACATGCGTCAAAACACTAGGGTTCAGTTTTAAAATTACATTATACATAGTAATAATAATAATAATGAAATAAATATAATAACGAAACTGTAAATTAAGAAAAAATTGGTCGGGCTTGCGGGCAAAGATGAAAGATCATTCTCGTCTCGTTGCATAACTTCGGTTATCCAAATTTCGCAAAAACATTACTAATGCTCCAACCTGTAGCTGTAGGTTATGAGGTGGTAATTCGGCTGGTTCCGAGGAGTTTAAAAAATTCTACCTGGTAAATTTGGCAATGCATTTGTTCTTAGATGCCAACATTGCTCTCTCGTACGTACATTTGTGGTTTGTGTTGTGTTGTCAAATTTGTATCCAGATTTTCAATGAATCACCAAAACACAAATACTGTATTGTTTAGCAAATTTCTCTGTAGATTTGTTTCCCAATAGATGGACCCTTATTTAAAGAGACAACTTTTTAGCGTCATTCCACGGTGAAAATAATTTTAATTAGACATCGTTGGTTTTTCTGCCGACACCTACCCAGTAGGTGTCGGCAGAAAAACCAACGATTAGAATATATTTATTATTTTGGTCAACAGTTGGCGCTACATGTAAAGAATGCGTGATTGAGGAGACTTGTCTCCAAAATCGCGCTGCTGTCGACGGCTGCGAGCCTTAGAAATATGAAGGAGTACGTGTCAGCCACAGAGTATTTGCTGTTTAAATCATCAGCACATAAAATACACCAGACTTGTAGATAGTTAGGGGACCGATAACCGGATCAAAAGAAAATAAGAAATGCTGACAAACAAGCGCGAATGCGAGACTTCCACATGCGTTGCTCGCGCTCTCCGAGACATAGTCACGTCCCAAAAATGGCTTCGCCGTTTTACTTGTCTATATTATATTATCCAGAGCCAAATGGTCGAGCGGTCGAGGTGGCAGCCTACCGCTCTGAGGGCCCGGGTTCCAATCCGGACGGGTCGATAAATCCCCAGGAATATTTCGGGGTGGTCCATTCGGATATGTCGGGCCCTGTCCCCCACTATCCGGCTACCTCATTGTGGGTCTGGCCAAATCCATAATGGACTCGCTAAAAGAGGCACTCTTAGTACCGATGAGGTGAAAAGAGTTTAAAAAAATACTGTACTATTCCAATATTTTGGGGTAATATATAGCTTAATATCGATTCTGGGATCTACGTACAATAATACTGATACAAGCTTTGGTCCACATCAGTTTAAGAATAAAGATTTGTATAAAGGACAACCCAACACGAATTGATTTTTATATACAGTATATGAAGATTGCAAATTGCACAAAAACTGAATAGATACCGCTACAGAGGGCAACCCGAGTGTTTATATAACGCGGTACGGATAACAACTTGGAGAAGGTTTGAAGTCGTTTTAACGTTTGTTCCGGTTGCGCTCTGAAAACACTCCCATACTTTTACAGTAGAGCCTCGATTATCCGACCCAATTGCGGACTGGGGTTGGTCGGATAATTGAAAAGTCGGATAACCGAAAAGTATGAAAAAATCCATTACAGTAGAGCCTCGATTATCCGACCCAATTGGGGACTGGGGTTGGTCGGATAATTGAAAAGTCGGATAACCGAAAAGTATGAAAAATCCATTATTAGTGTAGTATATTATTATATCCCATGTAATTAGTATATTAGTATATCGCTATTAATCTACTTCGCATTTAATTTTCATCGATGTTAAGCTTAACAAAAATTTTTAAAAATAATAATCGTCGCTATTGTATCGTTAAAAATTAGAAAATTAAGCCTCGTTTAAATACTGGCTCCCTTTCACGGTCGAACAAGTATTGCCAGCTAAAACACGTAAAAATAATGTTAAAGTAGCCAAGACATAGCCAAATATTGTAGCGCCACATCACTAGTGGACATTTGAAATTTGCCGACTAGGACGGTCGGTTAACCGAGGTGTCGGTTAATCGGGGGTCAGATAATCGAGGCTCTACTGTACTTTTACTTTTAAACCTGTCCGTGCTCTCACTTCTTTCCTACGAAATAATGCTACAGACTAGACTGGCCTGGTCACGCTGATTAAACCTGACTAAATCGCTAGTTTGTCCCCGGCCTAATTGTCTATTTTGTAAGACGAAATCTTGATCGAATGAAACTTTATGTAATTTAATTGGTAAATTATATATTTTAGTTTTTTATTTAAGTCTAATATAAAATAACTACATTCGGTATCAGAGGTATCGAAAACTTACTTGAAAAGTAGTTCGGGGCAGTAGCGGCTGTATCTAGTCCTGGCAGATGGAATTATATACTGGGACTAACACGAATTATAAATATGTAAACACGTGAAATAGTGATGTTTTAATAATCGCTAATTGATATCTGTTTAATGAGTACACAAAACTTATTTGAAATTTCAAGAATATTGGAAGAATATCAATCAGTCCAATTCATTATCAATTTTGTTACGCTTCATTTACATAAATTCTCTAAAAATTTTAATTGATGAAATTCATTTTCCGAAATGAAGAAACTTCTATGAAGACTTTTAACTGTTTAACTATTTAAATTGTGGAATTTTTCTCCCTGTACTTTCAATAATGGGCTTTCAAAGCGAATTGATTATTTACGTAAGTTAAATCAAACACCAGCAAATATATTGATTAGAATGAATGAAAACATTCAAATATTCTTAATTGATTCTAATCTAATTATATAAGACGGCCGGATGGCCGAGACGGTTAACCCAGAAAATTTTAAAGGCCCTTCTTCCGTCATTCGGCGGCTCCACTGCGGGCCTAGCCAAACTCACAATGGATACGATAAAAATTGATGTTTTTAGTGCCTGGCGGGTATAAAAACTAAAACAAACGAGTTACATAACCTCGATAGAAATATATCAGATACTCTTTAAGACCAACGTCTTGTTTTTCACCACTCGGTTAGTCCGGACTTTGAAACCACCCAATTCTTCACTGGGCATGGGAGATTCGGGGCCTACTTACAGAGGTTTGGCAAATCTGCAACGGACATCTGTACCATCTGTAATTGCCGTGATGGGGTTGAGCACTATATATACACGAGTCCAATGACCGAGGATGCTAGGCACGAACTTGCCCTTGCTCTTAACCACAGGGGTATTAATTGGCCTTGTAAACTTCGTGTCCTTCTTAAGGGTAGTGACACGTACAAAGCATTCAAAAAATTGATTCATAAATCTGTCATCGGGCACTATCTTCATTTGCTCCCTGCACATTACTGTACATATTATTCGTTCTGCAGCAACATATATATGTGTAATGTTTATTATTACTATTAGTATTGTCTATCTTATACCACTGTACATGTTATTCTACTCTCGAGTTATGTATCATATCGGTTGATTTGTATCGGTCATCTCAACATCTGTTCATACTTCCTCTCTATTGTCTTACTGTTTGTACGTTATCTCTCTGTTATTATGTATGTATTTACTTATGCTTTGATATATCTCTGTACCCCGATTATGCTCTGGCGGTATCGGGAGTAAATAAAAATAAAGACCAAACTTTATTCGGAAAACAATTTGCCATCGAGACTGGTTTCAGCAGACGGCAAGACAAATTTCAGATCGTTTTTGGGGTTTCATAAAAACAAACAAAAAATTGAGGAAATGATAGAGCAACAGAAGTATAAAGAATCCTCTATTTAATCTGGACAATCATTTTTATTAAAAATACACTTTATTCTATAAGAAATTACGGAATAAATAATATGGGATTTTATATACAGTAAATAGATTGTCCTGTAAGTTATACAGAACTATTTAATTAATTTAATAAAAAAAACTCCCATAAAACAATAGCGCAATAAATTAGCTAATTAATAAATCCTCAAAAATTTTCGCGGCAAAAATTATTCATAAATTTGCATAGGTGATAGATAAAGATGTATGTATGCTGATCCATACATTTTTCGAAAAGTTATAAGTCTATGCCCTTTTTGAGGAACGTTAAGGCCCATGCCCGAATTATTTCGGGTTACGGACAAGACTGGCATAAAGATTTGCAGCTTGCGAATACAGTCGACCCCCCTATAACGCGGTAGATACGTTCCGTTCTTTGTGAAATTGATGTTCTAAGAGTCCTTAAATACGTGAGCCAATCACAGCTTGGCACATATACAGTTTATGGACTACGGCTGTTTGAAAGGTTTTCTTCCATAAAATTAATCGATTCTAGAATAATTCGACTCAACATTTCCAAAACACGTATAATTTTTTGGGAATAATCCGAATAAACTATGTTATAAACAAAAAATTGTAGGATTACTTACCGAGCGTGACCGTTCGACGACGCCATTGCTTAAGCTTGTTTTCGTCGCGGAGCGGCGCATCGAACGGGGGCGCGCGTTTCCCGATAAATTATTTTTCTGCGAAAAATTTGCTGAACTTTGGAGACATCATTAATATAAATATAAAATTTTTATGGACGTTAAATAATAAATGATTTTTAGTAGATCCGCCGCTCGTTTAAACTCAACGGTTTGCGCAATATCCGCTATTGGTCTAGATTCGACCAATCCTGTCGCGACACGAGTCGGCGATGACGTTTTACCGAATTATACGAGTTTTTTTAGCATGTTTGTACGAATACGGTCGCAATTTTTTCGCCGTGNTAAAAACAAAAAATCGCATCTAAAATAGTACAGTAGAAGCCGTTTTTCCGGTTAAACCTTAATGCCGTCCTTTTTCCCCCGCGGGGGAATTTCGAAAAATCCCTTCTTAGTGAGCGTTTTCATGACGTACCCTGTGTACCAAATTTCACCTCTTTAGGTTAAGCGGTTTGATCTGGGCGATGATGAATCAGTGAGTCATTCAGTCAATCAGGACAAGCAATTTTATATATATAGATTATTAAAATTAATGTACGATTAACGATCTACGGATCACGCTTTTCTTAAGTTTACTTTATAATCTACGTAAAGATTTGTATATCATGTGTATAAAAGTTACAATAATCAACACGTCGACGTTAACTAAAATTTATTTGCCAATTAAATGAAGTGTACTGTACGTGTATTTATTTTCTTTTGTAAAATTATTCACTTCAAATACGATTTTTTTCAACAGCTATACGACAACTTTTCTGAAATTCGAAAATTGGCCTTGTGTAATTTATCTCCAGTGTACAAGTTCAAGGTTGACATTATATTATTTATTTTAATAATTTTCCAGGTATTTTATTCAGTGTTATTTTCTTTTTGAAGATTCTCTGCTTCGCGAAGAGATACGGAAAGACTCCTCTGGGATTCTCTATGGCGGGATTCATTGTTGTCAAGAAGGACTTCTTCATTAAAGTAAGTGCAAGTGCAAATTGCATCCGCACTTGAATTCGTTAAAATTATCATTTTGTTTTACTGTTTTGCAGGTGGCCGAGGGCCTTTACTCGGTATTCAACGCCTTTCTTGAATTAAGACGTTCGTTTTCCGCTACAAAGCGAAATTGCGTTACTTCGTCGTTATCGTTCAACAAAACTGCGGAAGTTTTTTAAAAAATGCCTGCGAGGCACGAACAGAAGGTTAAGGGCACCATTAGGAAATCCGATAATTTTGTTTTAATATTAGGATTAAAATTAAGTAATAACAAAACTTAAAAGGGGTAATTTTGTTGAATTATCAAATATTTTCATTTTATGAATATTTCAGTTAAAAAAGACGCTATGACAGTAGCTAAAAGTCAAATTTATACATGGCATTCTCTGTTATATAATAATAATATAAAAGTTGCTTTTTAACACTAATTGTTGTTATTGTCCAAAATATTCTTAATTTTGAGTTTAGAGACGAGTTTTTAAAATATTGCAAATGCCAATAACGAGCGAAATTTTCATTAGTCCGACTCATCCCTGAAACGTATGACACGTGACTCTCTCTATCTATCCATCCTCTCGAGTTTTTCAGTTATTGGCATTTGCAATATTTTTAAACAACTCGAAATTAAGAATACAGTCGACCCCCTATAACGTACGTTCCTATAACGACAATTCCTATAACGTAGCGAAAAAATTGTAGAAACTTTCGTATAAAATACTTCCTATAACGTCGTTTCGCGACAAGATTGATAGAGTCTGGACCAATAGTGGATGAGCAGCCGAACTACTTTCCTCCCGACCCTGCGCCACGCTACGGAGGGGCTAAATTGAGTTTGCTATCGTCTGTTTAGTATTATATATAAATTATATATAAATTAGGTACTGTACATATAATTATATATTAACTTAATTTATTGTAACTTTATTATAATTATATATATGCTTTCTGCCGCCTGGCAACACGCTACGTAATTTTTAGGCTNTTATTTATAATCTACGTAAAGATTTGTATATCATGTGTATAAAAGTTACAATAATCAACACGTCGACGTTAACTAAAATTTATTTGCTAATTAAATGAAGTGTACATGTATTTATTTTCTTTTGTAAAAGTCTTCACTACATATATCATTTTTTTTCAACAGCTGTACGACAACTTTTCTGAAATTCGAAAATTGGTCGTGTGTAATTTATCTCCAGTGTACAAGTTCAAGGTTTACATTATATTATTTATTTCAATAATTTTCTTAATATTTTATTCAGTGTTATTTTGTTTTTGAAGATTCTTTGCTTCGCGAAGAGATACGGAAAGACTCCTCTGGGATTCTCTATGGCGGGATTCATTGTTGTCAAGAAGGACTTCTTCATTAAAGTAAGTGCAAGTGCAAATTGCATCCGCACTTGAATTCGTTAAAGTTATTATTTTGTTTTACTGTTCTGCAGGTGGCCGAGGGCCTTTACTCGGTATTCAACGCCTTTCTTGAATTAAGACGTTCGTTTTCCGCTACAAAGCGAAATTGCGTTACTTCGTCGTTATCGTTCAACAAAACTGCGGAAGTTTTTTAAAAAATGCCTGCGAGTCTCGAGCGGAAGGTTGAGGGGACCATTAGGATAATTTTTTTTTTAATATTAGGATTAAAATTAAATAATAACAAAGCTTGAAAGGGATAATTTTGTTGAATTATTATAAATATCTTCATTTTAAGAATATTAAAAAAGACACTGGCAGTAGCTAAAAGTCAAATTTATATATGGCATTCTCTGTTATCAAATTATAATATAAAAGTTAGTTTTTAACACTAATTGTTGTTATTGTCCAAAATATTCTTAATTTTGAGTTTAGAGACGAGTTTTTAAAAATATTGCAAATGCCAATAACGAGCGAAATTTTCATTAGTCCGACTCATCCCTGAAACGTATGACACGTGACTCTCTCTATCTATCCATCCTCTCGAGTTTTTCAAGATCGTAAAGTAGGACGACTGGAGACCCAGAATCTGGTCTCGTCTTTCATCACCGGCCATACTCACTGTAGACGTGGCGAAATCCATAATGGACTCGTTAGAAAAGGTCCTCTTAATGCCGACAGATTGGAGAGAGCTTAAGGTTCCGTAGTCCAAAATTTAACTTTTGACGCTTCTTATATGAGAGTCATCGCGCGAAATTTCGTCTCTTAATCTACTGTACATCCCGAGATATTAAACGAAATACAAATTGCTAAACAAAAATTATAATATCGCTATATGTTATATTAACGTAATATAAGTACTGAACAAAAAACAGAGAAATGAGACACGAACCGTTAAAGTCTATGACGTGTGCCTTACTTGTAGCCTCGAAGCATTAGATGAATTATTGCAGGATGGAGTGACGGTATATGTTATTCACAACCGATATTGTGTTTATTAATGAGATAGAGTAATTAACGTGGAGCCAAAAAAGGTTAGGAACAGATTAGAGAGGAGGATTCAAGTCAATTTTTATATTTACTGGCGGATAATGAGTTAGAGATCGACAAATAGAATAAATGTAAGATGTCAAGAATCGAGCAGTAATAGATAGCAATGGTATTCTGCACCATTAAAAGAAGAATACGAATGTAGATTTATCGATATAGCCTACACTAATATCTTTCCTCGTTTATAGGTCTATGTATATATATATTGTATATCTTACAAACTATTAAAATACTCGTATGTAGGAACAATGTGAATGTCATAAGAAATGTAGTTTCGTGTGTCAAAAATACAAAGTGTATGACGTCACAAACATTGTTTATTATTACAGAATCAAATAAAATTGTGTACTTTATGTTGTATTAAAATGAATAAACTATTTGAAAGCATAGTTTGCCTTCATTCCAGTTAAATTTCTGTGGCTGCTTAAATACATTAGAGAATAGTCTATGGTTTTTCCTATTATATTGTCACAGATATTCAATGAAATACAATATAGAAAATGCAAATTAGCCTACTTATTAAACACACATACTCTACAGAAAGAAAAAATTATGTACAAAACTTGCATAATACCAATACTTTCGCTTGTTACGTATAGGGTCATAAGAACCACAAAAATAGAATATTTATGAAATAATGTCCCATTTTATTTTTAAGTTATTTGGCTTAAGCAAACGCAGAATCATTCTAGATTTTCCGGTAGCTTAATGCGGCGAAAATCTCTCTGGAATTGCTAATCTAGTGGAAAAAATGCTAAATTTGGGCTTGCCTAAGTCCAGGACGATCCAACGAATTTATTCGAAATTGAAGACTTCCGTAGTCCTCGTCGAGGTCACTAAATATTTTAAATTTCGAGCAAATCGGTTGGTTCGTCTCGGAGATATTAACGGTCAAATTTGGCACTTTAATATTACACGAGTGGCTGCGCTCTGTGATAAATGAGTGTAAAAAATATTATTTAATAAATAACACCGAATAAAAAGCCTAAAAGCTGGATGTAATATAAAGTACTTTACGCGAAATTATTACAACTTTCCTAAAGTAAACCGTGTGTGGTCATAAATAAATTAAAGAAACTTAACAAATTCAAATTGAACTTTTAATAGCACTTCAATTGTCATAAAGAGTGAACACATTGGCAGTCCTGCTGTTCGATAACAAATAATATCAATTTGTAAAAGAAATATTTAAAAATTGAGCACAAAACTTATAATTTAATTAATGACATTCACCACTATTTAAAAATAGTTATGTAATTTTAAATCTCGGATGATAATTCGAAAACATTATCGACGTTTATCACAAAATTCAAACTCAAATTCACAGAATTTAAAATTTACAAGTTGTTTATGAGGTTACTTACTGGATTTAGTGTGTTTTGGTGTGGCCATTTAGGGGCAGATGAGGTTAGAGAAGAGGTGGATTACACTATGGTAGTTATGGTGATCGTTTCTTACTACTATGGCCCTCAGATACAGATTTAACAGTTTTCCATCTAGCTAAACTACTTTTTACTAATATTTCTA